AGCAATGCAAGTGAGCAGTGGTGTTGTAAAATGGTGACTGTATGATTATGAATTCCTGAGAGCAATCTTTAAATTCATTCCTTTTTTCATCGTCAGGGAAATACATATAGAAAAGGTTATGTTCACATTTAAATGATAATTGTATTGTTAACAAGATTAAAGGGAAATGAATGCAATAATATATCAATGAAAATAAGCAAGAGCTGAAAACTGTTTTACTGCAGTAGGCTGAGGGCACAGTGTCTGGGTAATGTAAGCAGTTCAGATCCCAGTCTGGGCAAGGGGACTGGATAAGAATTGCTTTACCTTCACGAACAACTTTGTAGTGAATAATGCACATAATTTCTGAAGTGAAAGGGAAGTTTCCCCCTCTAGAGGCTAATGCAAAGAACTGCTTATCTACTTCTAGTTTAGCCACCGGCTTTAGTTTTGGGTAATGACAAATTAAACCCAGACGCTTCCAAACTGACAATCCAATTCAACACAAGGAATTATATGTCAGTGTTTTTCACTGAGCTAATTGTCAAAGCTATAGTTGCAACTTGTGAAAAATTCAAACCATCTCACATCTTTAGCCACCACAGCTGTATGTCAACTCTTTACTTTCTTCTTTGTGACCAGCCTGTTTATTTCTCCTCCTTCATATCCTCAATTTTATGAGGGGCTGGACTTCACACCTCTCTTCAGGTTTAAAGAAGACAAGCTTTGCAGAAATCATGGTCTGTGTGTTCTGCACTTCCACCATGGCTCCCAAGTCCTGCTGCCCAGTTATGGGTTTTCAGTGAAATAAGGTTGAGTCCAACTGCGGAAGGTTAGCAAAGCAGAGCCATTCAGTTCTTGCTGGCAGTATATCTGAAACACTTAGAAGCAAGAAGAAAGGTTTTATTTTTGAAAGAGCATTAGTTTAGAGCTTCTCCTAACCTTTATAAGCACATACCCGTTCCCAGATGTAGTTTGGTATTTCATCATCTACCTGACAATCCCATGGAGAGGCTTTAATGTTAAGTGACTTAAATGTGCTCTGTACCTTAAATATATTCTCCCTTGTAACTTAAAAACTGTCCATCCCAGTTCTTTGGTGTTCATACTCCCCTGATGCCTGTCAGTGGTACTGTTGTCACAGAAGGCAGCTACATTGTGCTTTGGTATTTTGCTGTTAGCACAGCACTAAGGGTACCATGCAAGTGGAAGTCAAAGGTTGTGTACTGGATGATAGTGCAGTGTATGTTGTTTTTAAATAGGAGGAACAGGGCCCTGGAGGCAAAACATAGACGGGACTTCATCTTTGCTAATCAGCACTAAGAAAAAACAATTAGCTTATTGGCATGAAAAGCTTGTACCATCTCCAATGTCTGTTGCCCTGAGCTAATGAAATCACTGTGGCATACCAAAGATACAGCCTGCTGAGAAGTACATCCTCTTTCCCTTTTTAAATACCATACTATATAAAATAACTAGAAGTCAGCTTTGTCTTTAAATGACTGTTCTTTCCACTTATATATATGATTTATAGTACTAATCATGTATGGATTGCATGAATGCAATTCATTGCTAATTGCTACTGTGGACATGGTGGCTATTTTTCCCTATAAAGGGGATGGAAATGTGTTTCATTTACATGTTCTCCATTTCCATCTCATATTCCTGCTCTTTGCTTAGAAAGTCTTATGTATGAAAATAAAATTGGATGATGCAAAATCAGGGCAATTCATTAGATAAATGGAATAGAGGAAAATTGCATTCCACCTGACCAGACTTAATTGAAAATCAGTTCAAGAAATTGCAAAGCCTTCAGAACAATTACAGGAAATGTTGGTTTTTCTCCTGTTCTTTGAGTATAGAAGCGTAGAAGAAATCTTATGGCAGAGACTGAATGTCCCAATTGTTTCAGTCACAGAAAAGGTTTGATTCCATTGTAACTGCAGTAATTGCATGCACTGAAGTCTAGCAGGGAAATGTTGCACACTGTATTTGTCTTTCTATGGGAAACTTTACATAGCCTGCTTATGCTTTGTCAGCTCATATCACTCTTAGTAAAATGCAGTGATGGAAATGGGCTATGTGGACCATGATTTTTGAGTTCAGTATCTCATAAACTTGGTTTCAGCTATTGAAGTAGGTCTGATTTTAATTAACAGTTCACATAGGACACGTGCTTGTGTTAAAAACTACCTCATTTTCACCTTGTGTTGGTTAACTTGTAAGAAATCAAACACATCTACAATTAATATATTTAGCTTGATGTGTAGTGTTACACAGGAGTGCTGTTTTATGCTGGGACAAGCGCTTAAATAATTTTTATTAAGTCATCGACATTATTTTCAGAAGGACATTTTTGTAGTGATTTTGTCTGCAAGTCTCAGTATTTTCATTCACTTTTAAGAAATAAATCCCACTTTTTCTTGTTTTTGTTTTTCTTTCAAGTCCCAGTGTCTAGGTAGATAATATTCTACTGGTATAGGTAGGCTTTTTTTTTTTTTTTCATGTTTGTCTTCCTAGGTTTTTAACATTTTACATTGGAACACTTGCATGAGTAAAATGATACAGAACAGATGTTCTCAAACACATTAATGCCATGGCAGAATGTGCAGCCACAGCATCTGCATGGTGACAGCAGTTTGGACAATTTAAGTATTACAGGGTTGTTTGGTATGATTCAGATTTGTGTGATGGCCACATCCAGTCTCAGTGCTTACAGAGTCACCTCACAGCTCCATTTACTCCATTTAAGCATAATCTGTGTTTTTATGAAGCCACAACATTATTTTATCTCAGGCTCTGGAAGGAAAAGTGCTGAGATTTGTTCTTCTTTCAGCTTAGGTTAGGATAAAGTTTGACATGATAAAGTTTGTGACCCCACATGCTTGAGTGTTAGATAGTTCATTGTGTTCACTATCTTGGATTTTGGAAAGCATATTTATCACATTTTGGGTTGTTTTTCCCCCATGTTCACTTACAACATTGAGCATGTTCTCGGCCCTCAGAAAATTTATCTCATTTGAACACTTATAAATTACTACAGCCAAGCACACTTCCCCCCTGCCTCAAAGGATTCACCAGTAAATACTTTCTCACTGATACTCAGAATCAGAAATTGTATTACAAGAAATTTAGGATTTCTGTGGAATCAATCAATAACCAAGAATCTTGATTTTGCTGATTGTTCCAAGCAGATTTATTTATTTATTTGTTTGTTTGTTTTTTCTTTTAAGATGGTTTAGTTTATATGCTGGTTTTATGCTTGCAGACAGCTCAGTACCATGCAGCCACTCACTCCCTCTCCTAGGGAGCCAGGTGTGATGAGGGAGAGAATTGGAAAAGTAAAAGTGCTAGAACTCATGGGTTGAGATAAAGACAGTTTACTAGGGAAAGCAAAGTCACACGCACAAGCAAAGCCAAACAAGGAATTAATTTGCTGTTTCCCATCAGCAGGCAGGTGTCAGCCACTCCCAGGAAAGCAGGGCTCATCACAGAGAAAGGTTTAGTAGGAAGATAAACACCATCTCTCCCAATGTGCACCACCCCCCCCCCTTCCTTCTTCTTTCCCCCAGCTGTTACCCATGTGCTATGGGACATCCCTTTGGCCATCCTGGGCCAGCTGTCCTGGCTGTGTCCCCTCCCAGCTCATGGTGCACCCCCAGCCTCCTCTCTGGCAAGGCAGCACGAGGAGCAGAAAAGTCCTTGGCTCTGTGTGAGCACTGCTCTGCAACAACGGAAACAATTTTCATCAAAAAATCCCAAACATAGCATGAAGAATTTTCTATGAAGAAAATTGGCTATTCCAGCCAAACCATGACAGTTTAAAAATGGTACAAGAAGTTTCTAAAAAAATGTATAGGTTGCCCAGTTACTTTTTTCCAGGTAGTGCTTATACATACATTCAATTCCTACAAAAGTCAAGTGAGCTCATGTATAGGTTAGATTGGTAAGACATGATCTGCCTGTTGTGCTCTCCCAAGAGAATCCAGCAATTGCATCCCTCTCCTGTCCCACTTGTGAGATGGGAAGGAGCAGAGTCTGAAGGTCACACATACTTTATCCTGTCTTGGTAAGCCAATTGGTTATTGGTGGGCTGCTCCTGGCTCCAGAGCTTGGTTTCCGTGTAAGTACACCACCTAACAAAGTTTCTTTGGATGCGTGTCTCAAAGAATTAGTCTTATACCTTTGTTCTGAAATAGCAATCCTAGCTGATATTGTGACCATACCTTATGAGAACTAACAACTCTTTTAGTTCTAGCTATCGATTTAAAAGTGAATCTCTGGGTATAACTCCTCAAAGTTACTAAATACATCTCTGTTAAGAACAAGGCACTTTCCCAAGGTGGGACAGTGCACTGCAAAGCTGCAATTCTGGCCCCAGTGTGAGCTGGGGAGGAGCTGTACTGGTGTTACTGGTGTGCCTACCTGCTCTCTCTTCAGGTGAGGTCAACTAGTGAAGTTATAATTTATGCTTTTTGGGGTCAGCAGGGATACCTCCAGTTCTTTTTTCTTTTACATTCATGTTTTTAAAACAGGTAGTTTTTGGAAAAATTCTGAAAGAATGAGCAGTAAGATAGACAAAATGAGGTCTGTTACTTGCTACAGTCAAGAAAGAAAATCTTCCTTTCAAAATGTATGATTTAAAGAGCTTTCAGCAGATTTCTAATTATTGCTCTTATGTACAACCTTAGAACAAGTGCTTATACTCATGATATAAGCTTCTGAAAGTGCAGGTTCATTAAAAAAGTGTAAAATTGTCAAAAATCATTGTCTGTCTTATAATAGTAAAGTAAATTAGCTTCTCATAATGTTCAGAACTTTCAGTGCTACCTCCTGTTTTACATCTGTGCTAAACTATGGAGAAAGAAAATTCCATATTCTAATGATGTGTGCTATTTTTGTTTTTCATATATTTGATTCAAATTTGATGCTGATAATGTGATATTTGGTGCCAGATTTGATTGTGGATTTGTTTTTTTAATATTAAATTAAAGATTATTTTTTCATTGTTTTAATTTCAGATTTGGATTCTCTAACAGGGCATGCATTTCCAGGTAACGTGGACAGTTAGATTAGATTATGTTAATGTCATGTTTTAAAATGAGTTTATTCAGTTTATTTGGGGGGATTAAAATTTAATTGGTGTGATTCTTATAGCATTTTGTTATGTCAAAATTGTGTTGAGAGTTGTTTTTTTTTTTTAATTTCAGATAAATGTAGAAGAGAGATATTACGTGTACTAGTTTTAAAATTAGAGTTGAAAACCTGCTTTAACTACCTGTTAACTGTAGCATATTTAATCTTAAACCAACTAAGGGGGTAAAATCAATGATACAAAATATCAAATTCTAATGAAAATTTTATAAGTTTATTCAAACTGGCATGTGATTCTGTAAGGATGAATAAGAAACACCTTATAATGGCTAAGCAAAGCCATTAAGAATTCAAGAATTATAAGGCAGTTTCACGTTCTTTTACTAGAAATGTATAGGGTACTGGTTTTGAACAGCAAGAGCATAGTTTTCAATAGAGAATCAGAACAGAGGATAATGCGGTTATGTTTATTCTCGTAATTCTACTGCTGTACACATCCTTTTTTTTTTTTTTTTTTTTTTTTTTTTATTGCTGCATGGAAATTAACTTTAAATCCTGTCCACTCAGTTAATTAAAAACTTCAGATTCTTGCACCTATAATGACTTAAAAATTCAAAAATTTTGAGTTGGAAATTTTTCAGCAGAAATACAAGAAGGAAGAATTTGATGCTCAGTGATCATGTGAATTTCTGTGTTTCTTGAGTCAAAGTTGTGGACAGGAAGAACATAAATGAGCACTTTTTTTGATAAGGCAAGTCTCATGTTTTGAAAACATGCAGATGCTTCCTGTACTCAAAATTCTCTCTTGAATTTCCTTGACATGAACAGGTTGTAAAAACTAAGGCATAATTTTATTTTTCCAATGAGTTTTCAAAACAAAATTTGTGATGGTATTTGTCATTACAAAATTATTGGTCTTTATTATATAATTAGCTTCTAATTTGTCTACTGCATAATATGATATTCCTCCTTCAGTTGCCCTTTAAAACAGTAGTCTATAAAAATAATGGGACAGCAGCTGTATCTGAGGTTTTCCAAATGTCTCTGCACTATGGGCATTGGGTATGCTGTAAGAATCTCAGTAGAACAAATGATCAAAAAAAAAAATTTAGAAGTTCATCATGACATTTGTTTGCAGTGTGGACCAGATCTCAGTACAGTCTGTCAGGGCTATTTGTACTCAAATACAGCAACAGACCAAATGATGTCTGTTTGAGAAATCAGAACTCTGTAAGTGCAGATTTTGCCATTTTCATCCCAGCTGAGGAGACTCTTATTCTGAGTAGTCTGGTTTGGTTTGAGTGAGGATGCTCATGGAATAATGTACTGCTTAACATATAAATCTGATCTTCATGATTACTGTCAAATATGCATGTGTCACCAAGAGAGACACTGAGAGGAGCAGCATGAGTGCATCTCCCCCACCCCCCCTTTTTTTTTAAATTGAGTCTGCTTTCGTTATTTATTTATTTATTTGTTTTTACATAAGCATTTTATGATACCAGATAGTGCTATCATGGTGTGTCAGATTCTTACTTCAAAATACAGCTGTTCTAACATAATGATCATGACCAATCCTGGCAACAGTGCCTTACACTAATACGTATACTACAGAAATATGGGAAAGAGAAATCTTTATTCTATATGGAAAATGTCCTAAATTAGAGGATAGGAGAATTATATTCCTGCATTATATTGCAGGTGTAGCTGTGCACAGCTCCATCAAATAGCCCATTGGTTTGCACAGACAGAAATATCTTTGAATCTAACTCTGTCACAAAGGGATGCAGAAGAATACTATACATGTAGGTAGCTGTGAAGAATAAAAGCCTGGAAATGCAGATTTGACTTAAATAGATCTTCACTTGGAGACTCACAGAGTGAACATGCCACTGTGCACCTCACAGAAATCACTAGAAGAACCATTTCTCATTTTCTGCTTTGTTTGACAGACTTGAGACATACTCTTTTCACACAAAACTATAATAGCAGCAGAATGTCCTGTCTTGTCTTCAGCTTTACTTGCCTTTAATAATTAAGTCATGACAGTATTCTGCTAAAATAGTGAAGATTGTGTAGTTTCAGACATAACTAAATGAAACACCAAAAAGGATGCCTGGGTGTCTAGTTATAATGGAAATCACAGACCACTAAATCCATCCTGATACCTGTGCATAAGTATTATAACCATTTAGGCTAAAATGTGTTAATTTTTAGGAGACAAAAGAGATCAAGGTGTTACTTACACTTCTTCAATATCAAGGAGTTAATTAGATGAGATATGCCCAGATGATCTTAGAGTATTAACATATGATTTGGATCTCATGCTGAACAAACACAAAACAAATTCAATTGAGATTTCTATTTATCTCATCTTGGGGAAAGCACTCCCTTTGAGCCAGTCCAATAAGATTTATTAACAAGACCTCTAAGGGTATGGTAAGCCAATAGTTTTTCATTTGACCCTCTGCCAGTACTCTGCAGTGGCCAAGCATGAAGCGGCTCTTTTCCAAAAGTCACGTAGCTGCGTTAGCACAGTGTTGTGTGGGAACAAATGCCAAGCCCTTAGCTGGGCACACAGATTAACCCTGGTCTGCACTGACCTGATCACATAGTTCCCAGTTCAGAGGTGGTTTGCATCCAGATGGCTTCAAATTCAAACAAAGTGAGCTCACATTAGGATATGACTGCTTGGACTAAGAAAAAATACTTTCCCTATCACCACTGGCCACTACATCAGCTCTCCCTGTGTTTTCCATAGATGTGGGCAATCTCTGTTACTTCAGAGACAGATCAGGATATAAACCACACCAAAAAGTTTGTTTTTTATGTCAAGGGAAAATAAATTCTTTATAACCCTTGCAGTTGATCAGCTGAAACCCTAAAGTACGAGATTTGATTATAGTCATTGTCTTAATGCAGAGCTGCAAGTGTTATGGGCATGTTGAGAACTTCCAGAAGCTGGATTAAAGCATCTCTTTTACAATGATATCTAATCTCGTCCTAAAGCTCCAAGCAATGGCGAGTCCACCAGCTCCCCTGGTAAGCCGTTCCAATATTTAATTACCCTTAGTGCTAGGAAATTGCATTGTTGTGGAAAGGTTGCATTTGTCTAATTTCAGTTGCCAGTCTTCCTTTTGCTATGCCTTTGTCAGTAAGACTGAAAAGTTTCCCTTTCCCAGATATGTTTTCTGAATAAGTGTCTATGAAAAATTGATTATTTGCAGTGACCTGTTGAAAAACCTGTGTGCACAGAAGCTTGTGCACCTTTTTGGGCTATGCCATCTGGCCCAATGAAGTTACTGACCTACAAACCTTGCATCTTCCATATCTTTGTACAAACACAATTTCAACACCCCTGCTACAACTAAAATTATATATATAGCAATCAAGGCACCTTTCAACTTTTGTTTTGCTAAGTTATGTTGTACTCTTCAAGGCTCACACTGTAAGACTGGTTTTCTGACAGCTATCCTAAGAGATTTGTGTTTTTTTTGTTTGTTTGTTTGTTTGTGTTTTTTTTGTTTGTTTGTTTTTTGTTTTGTTTTGTTTTGTTTTTTCAAAACCTATGAGAACCATAGAGGATTTATTCATGTAGATATTTTGAAAATGCTGTGTATAGAAGCAAAGTCATTTATTTTTTGTACTTAATGCCTCCTTTTTTCTCTCCCCCTTTTTAGGCATTTAGGTACAGTTCTGAATTTACAGCTCAGGTTGCAGTGACTGTCTCTGTCAAGCAATCCAGTGTCAATCCCAAAATGTAGCTGATAGACTAGGAATGAATGGTTTTCCCTCCAGTTTAATGTGGTTGACAGAGATCAGAAGTGGAAGTGAATGTTTACTGAAATAAGCATTCTTTATATGAATAAGCAACATGTGAAAGAAAAAAAAAAAAAAAAAAAAAAAAAAGCAGCTTTTTCCAACCTGCTCATATCTATGGGGACACTCAGCTTTGGGTGGTCATTAATCTGAAGAGGAAGGAGGAATAGCCAGCATGGCTCTAGGGAGCAGGATGAAAAAAAATGACAGAGACTTCAAAACATGCAAGAATATGAATTCTTACTCTAACTTTCATGATCCTGCTAATCAGAAAATATGATGCTGTCAATCTGCTGTAACCAAAGGCTTTTTCTGAGCATTCATACCAAACTACTCAGGTAATTACATTCCTTCTTAATCCCATCAATTCCTTCATGGCAGAACCATTTCAGGGTTTTCTATCCAAATGGTAAATGTGCCACAAAGCTGTCCAGATTATAATGACGTTACACCCTTCCTCTGATCTTTACCTCCCAGAGCAGAATCTCCCATGATGTGTGTCTAACCCAAGTCCTTTGTTGTCACATTTTCTCAGTCTTCTGTTTGTTTGCTTTAAAACACATTTTGGTGGCAGCAGCTTGTCCAAAGCAATTGTTTACTTTCCTTATGACATTTTTTTCATGGGTAGTGAGGAAGAGACAGAGTTTGGATGACTCTGTTTCTTACTTGAAGGATAAGTTAAGTAGTTGGTATTGAAGTCTTCAGATAAGTATGGTATTCAGCTATGGTGAATATAAAGGTAAAACTGAGGCATCCCTGACTCACAAGGGAGTGTCCTCAGGAGTGGACTGTTCACTCAGAGTATGTGCGAGTACAGATCTTGCATTCCCTTTCTGCACAATAGCCTAATTCCTTACATGAGATGAATAATGGTGCAATCCTCTTGTAGACACAGTCTATTAACTGATATTAAAGGAGAAATGTTTCAGGTCTGTTATTTTTTGCGTATTCAGATGTGATCTCAGGCTCTTTGAATTGTAAAGGTACTGAGATAATTATTGCTACACTAAGTTATGCCCTAGTTCATACACATCCCTACACTTGTCTTGTACTTGTACTAGCTCACTTAACAGATTAGTAAAGTACCTTTAACACACTGGAGAGGGAAATTAATAGCAGTTTTGTGGTTGCTTTAGGATAG